TCCCCTACCCCCCCCCCTGCCGCGGTACTCGAGAAAGTGCCATTAAACGGCTCCAATGTAAGCTCCCACACATGAGTGCCTGCTGAGGTCCTGCAAAGACTCCCAATTCCCTGTGTATTTTCTCCAGTCTCTCCCTCACTCCCTCTCATCCTTCAGCACTCAACTCTCAACACTGGATACGAGGTAAAATTTTCCAACGGATTCTCCAGATATTCCCGTGTCTCTCCACTTTTACTTCAATTTTTTCTCTTTTAGGTGAAGGAAAAGAACAAAAAAAATGTTTAAAAAATCTTCTTCATCTTTTTTTTTCTCCCCCCTCCCCCCACCCTCGTCTCAAACGCTTCATGACTTGTGGTTTATTTCATCTCTTATAGTTTTTTTTTACTATTTCCTTGCACTCAAGGACCGTAAACTCAACCACTTGGGTAAAAGGAGGGAAAAAAATATATATATTACTGTTTGCAATTTGAATTTCTGAGGAATGAAGCAAATTTATTCAGAGAAATTTGGATGCTCTCCAATGCGATTATTTTCCTTTTTTGGGCGGGCGGGCAGGGAGCGGATTTCAATGAATTCTATGCGAGTGGAATTTAATTATATGGGAGGTACATTCGATGCTTCAATTAATTTTTTGAATTTTTGTTAATTAACATATAATGAAGTAAAAAAATTGAAAAAAAAATGTCAGGAAATTTTGTTTCCGATTTTTTTAAAGAACTACTAGGGCAAAATGGGTCGTTCTTTTTTTAATTCGATTGAGAATTTCCCGATCTGTCAAATGGGGTCATAAACGATTCAAAATTTTTTTTTTCCACGGAATTCAATCTTGAAACAATTAGCTGGGGTTCTCGTTAATCTTTGTCATTATGACCCGATTCTGTAATTGATATTGAATAATATAACAGTGGATGTATTGTGTTTTGAAAAAAAATGTTCCCAACGAGATTTAAAAAATTCAATGAGTGCACAAACCCCTCGAGTGATAAAATTTCATTGGAAAAAATTTGCCTCGGTGAATAGTTACACGAGTGGCTATGGCTCGTTGCCCTGGCAATGGAGCACCCTCTTGTCCCTTCAACTGCCCTCTTCCCCCCTCGCTCAATCGCCCACAACAAGCCCGCTGTTGTATTTTCAATGCCCCGTGCAGTTGTTTCAAAATATTTGGACTGAAGCCACATTTGCATTTTCAGTTTTTTTCAATTTTTTCGATTAAAAAAAAGTCAATTTTTTATATTGGTAACTAGTCCCTCTAATAGATCCAAAAATTCCCCTTAAAAGAAAAATACCTGTTTTGCCCCATTATTTCTCGAGATAGTTGAAAAAAAACGAAATTGAGACGATTTAGTTTTTTTGACTTGACGTCCGGAAATAATGGGGTAAAATGGGTCGTCTTTATTTTATATTTCTGGATAAATTTTCCAGTCCTCATGGGGTCATTATTGACCCCTACCTCTAATAATTCAAAACATAAAAATGGAATATTTAAATATCATAAAAAAATAAAGAAAAAAAATTGGATAATTTATTCAGCAAAAGCCGTCGCCAATAAATACCGAAAAAATCAGAGGTAAAACGAGAGTGGCAATTTTTAAACTCCTGAAATATTTAAATCCACGACATTTGTAGGGATAAAAATTTCGCGCATTTGAACGTTCTCCAGCGGACAGAAAAATAAAGGAGTGAAGATGTTAAAAAAAAAAGTGCAGAAGTGAGGGATTTTGAGCCGTGGAACAGGGGGATGATAGTGCCAGGGCTATTCCCAGTGGTCACGTCACACCGGTTTGTCACCTGTTCTAACGTGACCTCACTTTTTCTTCTCGCAACTCACAATCTCACTGTCTCCCTCATTCCGGAAGGCTCCACAGCAACGATTTTTTTTTACCCTCCCCTCATTTTATTATATTTTTTTTTCTCACCCTCGGACTTCCGCTCGACTCCGTGATTCCCGGTAGAATCCTGGGGGAGAGGGGAAATCTCTAGCTTCCGCATAACGCGTAATGCACTCATTAAATGTCATTCAATTTGGGATTATTTGATTTTATGGATATGATTTTACGATTTTTCTTTTGGTGATTAGTTTTTTTATTTTTTCATTGTTTTCGTTGATTGAGAGTTGATTTTGAATTGACATTGAATAAAACGATTTTTATAATGCGATTGTTTACGAGGGATTTTAATGCCTGAACGATTTTATAATTTTTTTGAATTCAAATAAAGAAAATATAATTCAATTTGAGATTATTTGATTTTATGGAGACGGTCTCATGATTTTTTTTGTGATTGCTGTTTTTAATTTTTTTATTGTCTTCATCGATTGAGGTATCATTTTATTTATCAATTGCATCCATCGATTTTTATTAATCAAATTTTATTAAATTTATTGATTGAATTAAATGATTTTCATTATTGATTTTTATCAATTGAATTAAATAATTTTTATAATTGCAATTGGGTACGACTAATTTGTTGAATTCAATGCTCATGATCACAGATGATTAAATATCTCATGTCTGATTGGCTTCATGAATTATTCGTGAAATTCCCACTTCAAAGAATGCTCACAACGCTTGAATTTCAAATAAAGAAAATATCTCTTCAATTGGAACTAATCGTCCCCATTCTGCACCCCCATAAAACGCAAATTTCCTCAATTTCCTTTCTTCACTATTCTCACCCACCTCTCGCGCAATGCAGTGAACTCAGTCATCTGTCACGCTTGAAACGAAATGCCAGAAGGAAAAACAGACGCCGTTAGAGTGGGCGAGAGAGCGCTCGTTGAATCGACTGGGAAATACCCATTTGAAATTTTTTACAAAAGAAAAGGGGGAAGGGGGAGAAAAACCCGATGAAAACTCGGGTCATCGATCACCATCTCCTCAACGCAGAGCAAAAAATCCCTCAACTTCCATACCTCCAAGAAAAACTTTTTAATTGTCAAAAAAAAAAGCATAAACTTCGCAAATTATCACAAAACAAAAAAAATCATGAAAAAAAAATTCTCAAACTGAAGCCGAAAATCACTTTAAAAAAACAAGATTCATTATGCCCCATCAATATTCCCCAAAACCGCAAATTATTAAACATTTCCGCATTTTTAAAAATTTAAAAATTTTTATTTCTAAAAAAATAGTAAAAACTAGAAATAAATGGAAAAAAAACGCAATAAAAAATTGAATAATGACTGAAGAACAATAAAACCCGCGAAACAATTGAATTTTGTACCTCATGAGTAATTACCCGGCAAAATAAAAAAAAATTTTACCCCATTTTTCAAGCCAGCACGAGCGATAATTGCAGTTGGTACCGCGAATTTATTTGATTTTACGATTGCCGAGTAATTTTCGTGGCATTTTGGCACGGCAAAACGACCGACCGAGAGTGAGAGAGTGAGAGAGAGAGAGAGACCAGTGGTGAACTCGTTTCGTAAATTACAAAGGAAACCCCGAGACATGTATACGACCCCTACATCCAGCATTGGAGATTAGACTTGAGTTTTCATGAAGTCGTAAATGTTTTTAAAAAAATAAATAAAAATAAATGTACGATGAGTGTATTGGTCACGCAATGGAGTTGTCAATGCCTGTATTGGCTTTTCACTGGCATTTCTGAGCGTGTGGAATTATGGAGGGGAAGGTCAGTAGGTTCTTTTCTGTCCCTCATTTTCTCAAGTTCAAGGATATTTCGTGAAATTGAATGAGAAATATTTTTTTTTCTGAAAAAATTTAAAATTTACGTAATAATCCAAGATTTACGTGAGTCAGACCATTGAAAAGATCGAAAAATTTACCCTGAAATAAATTTAAAAAAAAAAAGACAACCCGTTTTGCCCCATTATTTTTTAACTTAGTCTAAAAAATATTTTGTCAAAAAACCGTTTTTTGGCAGCCTTGAAAAATCATGGGGCAGAATGGGTCGTTTTTTTTTTTATTATTGACCCCACGCGAGACGGTTCTAATTAATGATTTTTATTCGACAATCCGAATGACTGAAGAATGCTTTTTTCCGAGGACGTTAATAAAAAAAATACAAAAAAAAACACTCAAGACTCAGGGGCTGTTGCACCCTCGCCCTAAACCTGGAGTTATACCCGACGCTCCAACCAGTGATGAGAATAAAAATCCTCACCCCTCACATCCCTATTTTTTACGCTCAGTGGAATACGTGTTCGAGTACGCAACGTGCGTGCGCTTACAACAGAATTTCCCCACTATCCGCCACTTACCAGTCCACAGACAATTGTACACACAATGGGCATGAGATTCATCCCGAGTATCCCTTGAGAGCTGAAATGACAAAACGAAAGAAGAAGAAAAAGATAAAATTTTCCAAAAATTTTCAGACTGAAAATTTTCAGTGGATAAAATGCATTAAAATCCAGAGGAAAAAGTTCGATTTCGAATGAAAAAAAAATCCATAAGAGCCCTAGACCCCTAGAAATCCTTGGAAAGTCCCCTAGAAAAAAATTCCGTCAATATTCAGAATAAAAATTCTGAGAAGAAAGTTCGATCTCAGATTGAGAAAGAATAAACTTCCATAAGAGCCCTAGAACCCTAGAAGTCCTTAGAAAATTCCCTGGAAAAAATCTCATTAAAATTAAGAATAAAAATCCTGAGAAAAAAGTTCCATTCCGGATTGAGAAAAAATAAACTTCTGTGAGACCCCTAGAACCCTAGAAATTCCGAAAAAGCGATTTCCTCCCCTAGAACCATTTTGCCGGATATCTCAACTCCTGGAGCAAAAAGACGGTATTTTTTTTAACGACATTTAAAATTTCCCTAAATTATAAAAAGACTCTCGTGGAACCCCTAGAACTCCAAGAACCCCAAAAAACAATTTCCCCTGAAAACTAATTTTCCACAATATTTCCTTACTTCCCGAAAAACCTCATCATTATTTTCTTTTCATTCAATCACAATTTTCCGGACCTATCCAACTCCCCTAGAATTATTCCCTCAGCCCCTCCAATCCCGAAAATCGTCTTAAACTAAGAGAGAACTCACCGAGTCTGGCCGCCCCAAGGTCAGGTCAGTAGGCCGCATACACACGTTTCCCCCTCACCCCTCACGATAAATAAATTCACAGGGAGTTACTTCACTCCTACTTCACTCTAAAAAATTTTCCTATTTTGGTCACAAAAAAAATTCCAAAAATCCATTTTTTCCTGATTTATTACTCTCTCAATTTCTAGGTTATGTGCGTGGAATTCCGTAATTCCAGGGGGGGTGAGATTAAATTCACTCAAACGACGATGAGACACTCGAGATCAAGGGGTGAGGGCCACAAACATTGAATTGAAAAGTCGTTGAGATGATGATAAATTGATTCTTTGATGTTGAAAACAAGGGTGAGAGGTACGTTCCGTGTGAGCTTTGTCCAAGAACTGGCGGGAGCTTTAACTCCGTCGCACGCAAGAGCTTCTCCCGCTCCCGGATTTTCCATCCCCACCAGTGAGGGCTATAAAGCCCCTGACGATCTCTCCCTCAATATTGCCCCCACCATTTTATCCCGGCCCCCTGACCCCCCCCTCCCATCGCCGCCGCCCCCTTTCGCGGAACCCCAACCCCTCGCATCGTGAGATACAGAACCTAGCTCATACTGTTTCAACCGCTGAAAACCGGAGCAAACCTAGTGTAACTTTGACTCGCGTCCCTCGCATCTTATGCGATTATTTGGAAAATTTTGGGTGGGCAGGGGGGGGAGAGGGGGGAGAGGTTATTAGGGAAATAAGACTTTTTTTAAATTGATTGATTGAATTTAGAATCGGTTTGATTGATTTTAGGGTGAGCGAAGGGAATTGAGGTTAGTTTTTTGGGGATATCGTCCGACGAAAGGGAGATGACGAAATTTTTGATAAAACATTTTTTCAAGAGGAAAAGAAGAGCTACAAAAATGATTAAGATGAAAATTTCGGTATCTCTTGCGGTTTCTGAGATATTGAGGAAAACGTGGAAGGGGAGGTTAGGTTATTCAGATGAAAAATTTTGGGTTTGAGGTTAGATTTTTGGGGATATCTTCGGATCTATGGAAGATGGTGAAATTTTTTATAAGACATTTTTTGTAGAGATGAGAAAGAGCTGCAGAAACGACTCAGATGAAAATTTCGGTATCGGTTGCGATTTTGGAGATATTTGAGAAAATGTGAAGAGAGGTTAGTTTATGCTGATGAGGAAAGTTAGGTTTCCGGTTAGTTTATTGGGAATATCTCGGAATCTACGAGAGATACCGAAATTTTTGATAAGACAATTTTTGTAGAAGAGCAGAAGACCTACAAAATTAGTCCTCTTGTGTTTTTCAATAAACTGATTATTTCGCGAATTAGGTCTTTGTTATTAATTTTCCCGTAATGTTCAACCTCAATAATTTACTTCTTCATGTATTTTGCATTGTTATAAACTTTTGCTTTTCGTCAGAGATGGACTAATAATTTCCGATTACATTCATAGAGACGACAATTCATTAAATCGAATGAGTGAGCCTTGCCAAGAGATATCAGGCGGCATTGGGGACGATCTTCCCATTGAATTAAATCGACTTGCAACACTGCCAGATGCACTAAAGCACGCCATTGTTGTTTCAATTAGCCATTCACGCTCAATTAACAATAAATAAACTTCCATCAAACCTCATGAAATATTCTTAAATCTGCGAAGATAATTTCGCGAATATCTCCAAAATTATCAGCCCCTCAAAAAAAAGTGATAAGACCATTCTTGCAGCTTACGAAATTTTCCACAAAAAATGTTCCATAAAAAATTCTCGCAGCTGCTCTCAGAGCCGAGATATCAATCAAAATAGTGATTGTTAAAATGAATCCATCAATTTTGTTCGTTCCCAAAAATAAAAACAAATGTGCCATTTTTCATGTGACGAGGGTTCACAAGGCGCTTCCGGTGGTACGTTGAAATGATATCGTTTGACGAGAGTGGAGGATCCCCAGGAGAGGAGATAATCCAATGGGATTCCTTTATGTTCGAGTTGCCGTAAAGACACTTTCTCATTCTCTGTTTTTCCCAACTTTTTCCTCATTCGCGATTTTTCTCATCAATATTTTCTCTCTCTCTCTCTCTCTCTCTCTCTCTCTCTCTCTCTCTCTCTCTCTCTCTCTGTTTCTTCCCCTCTTCACATTGTTTTTCAACCCCTCGATGAGAGTAAAAATGCACCCGAGAGGTGCGCACCGTTGTATGGAAGCTCGTGAAAAACGTTACCTATATGAGAGGCAACATTTCTCAACAGCGTGAAAATCGATAAGCGACAAACCCCGAGAGCTACCAGCCGAACCACCAAACGAGGGGAACAATCCACTGATTCTCTGACCTCAAATACTTGATACTGACACTGTTGCATTTTTTTTTAATCTAGAGGAGGTAATTACTGATCTGATTAATGATTAAAATGATGCATTAAATGTTTGATCAGTTATTTCGTGAGATTTTGAGTTTCAAAAAAAAAAAATAATATGATTTTTGTACTAATTTTATAGGATTTCAAAGTTTAAAAAATATTTAAAAATGAAAAAATCTAAAAATTAACCACTTTTTGACAAATTAGATTTTTTTAATACCAAAAAAATCATTTGCAAATTTTTCGATCGTGAAAATCAACTTCCCCTCATACAAAAAAAAATATATATTTTCCCCCATTTTTTTTGTATTTTATAGCTCAGAATTAAAATATTGAAAAAAAATGGGTATTTTTTAAAAGCCCAAATGCCGCGCTTCCCTGACCCAACCACTCGATACAGACACTGTTGCGTATGGCTTTTGAACTATTTGATCGGTATCTCAATTAGGGGATCAGGAGTGGAATTCTGACAGTCCGTCCTTCATTTTTTATCGGGGGATTTGACTCTTCCATCGGCCGATGAATTGGAAAGATTACGAATAATGGAATTTTAAACGTGATAAACAGTTTTGAGGCTCTCTTAATGATCTCACGATTAGGAACGACGATAAGGAGTTTAAAAATAGGGGAAATACAGGATCGTTTTGATGAATAAAAATTATTTATCAATTTAGAAGAAATGATTCATCAATTTGCAGTCCGAGAAGAATTTTTATGGTAAAACAACATGAATTTATTTATTTTCGCTAACTTTACGGAGTTTCAAGCCTCGAAAAATGATTAATGATCATNGAGTAAAAATGCACCCGAGAGGTGCGCACCGTTGTATGGAAGCTCGTGAAAAACGTTACCTATATGAGAGGCAACATTTCTCAACAGCGTGAAAATCGATAAGCGACAAACCCCGAGAGCTACCAGCCGAACCACCAAACGAGGGGAACAATCCACTGATTCTCTGACCTCAAATACTTGATACTGACACTGTTGCATTTTTTTTTAATCTAGAGGAGGTAATTACTGATCTGATTAATGATTAAAATGATGCATTAAATGTTTGATCAGTTATTTCGTGAGATTTTGAGTTTCAAAAAAAAAAAATAATATGATTTTTGTACTAATTTTATAGGATTTCAAAGTTTAAAAAATATTTAAAAATGAAAAAATCTAAAAATTAACCACTTTTTGACAAATTAGATTTTTTTAATACCAAAAAAATCATTTGCAAATTTTTCGATCGTGAAAATCAACTTCCCCTCATACAAAAAAAAATATATATTTTCCCCCATTTTTTTTGTATTTTATAGCTCAGAATTAAAATATTGAAAAAAAATGGGTATTTTTTAAAAGCCCAAATGCCGCGCTTCCCTGACCCAACCACTCGATACAGACACTGTTGCGTATGGCTTTTGAACTATTTGATCGGTATCTCAATTAGGGGATCAGGAGTGGAATTCTGACAGTCCGTCCTTCATTTTTTATCGGGGGATTTGACTCTTCCATCGGCCGATGAATTGGAAAGATTACGAATAATGGAATTTTAAACGTGATAAACAGTTTTGAGGCTCTCTTAATGATCTCACGATTAGGAACGACGATAAGGAGTTTAAAAATAGGGGAAATACAGGATCGTTTTGATGAATAAAAATTATTTATCAATTTAGAAGAAATGATTCATCAATTTGCAGTCCGAGAAGAATTTTTATGGTAAAACAACATGAATTTATTTATTTTCGCTAACTTTACGGAGTTTCAAGCCTCGAAAAATGATTAATGATCATTATTATAGTTTTTTAATTGAGGAAAATCGAGGAGAAATGGGGAAATTGAGTATTTGCTTGAAAAAAACAAAAACATGCCGTCAATGTTGCTCAATTAATCATTCAACTAGGCGTTTACGATAGTCCCTAAAGGTCATAAACCTTGTACTTACCTCTAGCCACGTCAAGCCAATGTAACCCGAACAAATCCCTGACATTCTCCATAAATAATCCATAGTTCACCAGCACAAAACACTCCGCCACACACTTTGTCCCACAATATTTCACCATTTTCCCATTAAAACTGCGGTATGACATTATTGTCGTGTTCCCACATATCACATCGCCATTCTCAACCGCTCATTCGAAAAACCCGGTACCGAAAAACCGGTATATACCACGAAACAACACATTTTATCATTAAAATAAACTCAACGTAATGAACAATAAAATGAAAAATTGAGCAATCAATAAAAAACGATTTTTCGTCTGCCGGAAAAATGAAATTATCTCGAAAACGCGTCGGTTTGCGGGAAAATGTCACTGAACTTTTTTTATAGCCGAGAAAATTCTGCACAAAAAATGTTATATGGGATTTTTTCTCAAATTGGTTCGTTACTGACGTAAATTCAAAATTGATCGACGGGAAAATCAGACGAAACTTTCTATGAATCAAAATTTACTTTTTACGTCTTTAAAAAGGGGGTATTATCTCGGTAATGAGTGGTTTCATCGAAAAATGCCTCTGAGCCTTTATTGTAGATAAGAAAATTCTCCACAAAAAATGTCTTTGCAAATTTTTTCTTAAACTCTCTGATCACCGCGAAAAATCCCAACTAACAAACAAAACCTCCTCCATTCCGGAGTCTCAAAAACATTTTTCGCCCCTCACACAATCCGTATTATCTCCATACCGAATCATCCTATTGAAAAAAGTCATACAACCTTTTCTGTAGCTGACAAAATTCTCCACAAAAAATATTCTCAAGCATTTTCTCCCAAACCCACTCCCTTCGAGTCAATCTTCAAAAACCCAAATCCCGCATTGGAAGTCCAACTTTTAGGTTAGAATTCCATTCTACTTTGAGATTAGTAAACTTGAGTTAATTAATCCCCACATCCTATCCAATATAAAAACGATGTAAAAACCCACTTTTCCCACGAGTATCGCTCACCCCAAAGCGTGGGAACCAATTCAAAATTTCCCGGTCACTCTTGGCGGTCAGCGACGCGCGTGCGCATTGAAACAGGCGCGAAAATCATTGCGAGGTGTCGCCACCTTCGCGAAATAGCTAGCGAAAAGCAGGCATTAGTGTTAAAACCGGTCATGGGGGACAGTTAACGACCGCATCATATTCGCAGTCCCGCCGAATATAATCCCCTCGTTAACCAAAAAAAAAAAATCAAACATTTCGTCTGTATTTCACCGTTTACCGGTGTACGGCACCACTTAATACCGTCAAATAGTCACTTTAACTCATCAAAAATTGATCACAAAAGGAAAAATAAGGCTGGAACATGGGGGCTTACCTATCAGAGCCGATAACGAAAAAAATCTCGAGCGACGAGTCGGGTGAGAATGTGGCGTTCGGCGCGAGCTCCATGCAGGGCTGGCGAGTCAGCCAAGAGGTAAATAACCATCAAACAATATCATCATTTTAATCGTCAATCTAATAATAATGCGAGAAATTCTCGCCCGCGCGTGGGGGGGGGGGGGGAATTTTTTGGT